TGATCATTTGCATTTCTGACCAGCCAACCTCATGTCTATGTATTGCTATTCACATGAACCGCTGCATCCACATTTAGTTTGAGTGACCAACTTCTTATTTCTTCCACGTTTCGCCTTTCTAGCTGCAGATCCGTCCTTGGTCATCACACATTCTTATAATTAGAAAATGGACAATGAGCAATAGAGTTTAAAAAAACACTTGGTCCAATATGAACTCAAATTAAAATTCAAACATAGAACTTGAATACCCTACATGTTGATAACTAAATAACCTTACAATTAACACCACCTGTTAATACACACATATCATTTGGAATTCACATAATATCACACTATACCATTTCAAGTATCTAAGCAATATATCAAATTCATAACTTGCTAGACTACTTCCATACTTTATTTAGAACTATCATGTATAGGTGGTGGTGACTTACCTGATTCACGTGGAATTTTTACCCTTGAGCATGTGTATAAGGCATCCACGGGCAACGGTTCTTCGATGAGCAACTATTAAGATTTACACTTGTTAACTTAAATTCATGTTTCTAGCAAAATCCTAAAACTTAGAATTTAGGGGAATTCTACCAAAAATCAGCCCCCCAAAACATGCTAAAAATCCCGAATTTCTCGTATCTCGAACGGTAAATTTCTCGGTTAGCTAAGTAACAAAAAAAAGAATTAAATTCATAATAAAAAATCAACAACCCTTAACCAACTATCATAATATCAATGACTCCATGTATCTTATTATAACCATCCCCTAACATCAAGAAACCACCCAAGTTCTTTCATTAAATTAGGCAAAACATTTGGGGTAATTAAATACTCAAAACTTCACAACAGTTGTTAATCATGGATGAACAACAACTCCATGACATCCTTAATATTAAGAAAATCCATCAATTTTCCTAGAATCAACACTAAATCAACCAACCCTAGCAAAATCCTCAACCAAGAACTATAGATACAAATATAGAAGAAATACTTCATGTAAAGTGTAAAATCTTACCTATTGATGATCTTTGATGAAGAAATATGTTTGATTTGGCCTTGAATCACCTTAGAAAATGTTTGGGATTGTTTTGTAGAGGGAAGGATGAGCTTAGATCAAATTTGGGGCTGAAAGGGGGTTTCTACGCTTAAAAATGATTGTTAACCGACTTGCCAAAACCGCCCCGACCAGAGCCGATCAGGGCCCAACCGGCGTCGGTTGCACTGCCTTTCGACCGCCATGAAGTTCTGCTTTGGACCGATTCCGGTTCGGGTCAAACCGGCACCTGTCCTGGGTTCCCCCGGCGCCAAAAATGACCCTTTTCACCCAAAACTGACCCCGATTGTTGCCGATCCCATCCTAGACCCCCGATGACATTTTAAACTATATTTTAAACACCCAAACACTATCTAACATGACAACTAACTTATACCATTACATTCAAATTACAATTGATCATTACGATATATGTTCTTTGCTCATCGGGTACCGTTGCCTGTCATGCTAAAACATATTTTCAGTATATAAGTTCAAATACAATTAAAACAAAGTTCATAATCACATGATATCCCTATACTTCACATATATAGCATACAAATCCTAAGTTAAAACATGATCATATATAAAAGTGATTAGCACATAAGAAGTAGATAAAAAGACGGGTGTTACAAATATACTAATGTAATCATGTGGTGACACATGTAAAGTTGATTAGAGAGGTACTTGGATAGCTGGCTGATTGGTACCTGTGTGTAACAGAATTGTCCTTTGCGTACAAGAATGGATGTGTATGCCAATGAGGTCCACAATCTCTCATTGCGTAATTTGGTGCTAATGAGGTCCACAATTCCGAGCATGTGCGTGCCAATGAGGTCCACATGCATGTGCATGTGCATGTACGTGGAATTTGGTGCTGAAATGTCTAAGTCCACAATCCCTTATTTGGCTTCGAGCTCAGCACATGAGGCCGAGCTCGAGTATGGTGTGTTTGGCGAAGGTGATTTCTTCATTTTGTTGACCTCTTAGAGTGCGGGTTGACTTCAAGCTCAGTTGTGATGCCATATACGACACTGACCTCGGCCTCAGATGCAGTTTTGGTCTTATCTCGATTATCTGGGAGTCAAGTGTTTAGACCGACCTCAGCTGATGTTGACCTCAGCCTCAACTAATTAATGACTTGGTAACTCCGGAGGTTCTTTATTCGTGACTATTGGTACCCCTGGAGTATATGAGAATATACTTCATCACCATTCTGCACCAATACGTACCTGTTTACAAAGAAAGTGTTTTGTTTGTGATACTTGGTTGATAATTCATGAGATATAAGAGTATGGATTTTGCTTTATTTTTGTAATACTGTATTTTGTCTCCCTCTTCTAGGGGAAATTTATGGGATGACATAAACATGCTACTTTTTACTAACATGTCAATTGTAGAAAAACTCATAGTTATTTAGATGTGTGATGCACCTGTCTAACTATGATTCACCCCAAAAGCTAGTCACCTGTCTCGAACGTTATATGACATCACACCTGGATGCAAAGTCCTACCCACCTTATCTCCAAAGGGCGATCCAATTTCACCTCAAATACAATTGAGTGCTCTTAACCACAGTAGGCGTGCCTACAACGTTTGTTATTGGTTAACTCCTATCTTGCGACCTTCCATTGTATTTTCCTTTATCGATTTTTGTACTTGAATCTTTTTTTTTAATAAATTGGAAAGTGTTCCCCGGCGCTTTCCCCACTTCCAGTGATATTTCCGGGGGAAAAAAATAGATGTGTGATGCAATAAAATACATCTATCTCTATTGAGTACTAATAAGGTGGTCTATGTGTCGCCCTTTAAACCATCAATGGCGTATTTGTGCTCCATGTCACCACACACTTTGCAAAATTTGGTGTTGCTAGTCCACTAATACTAGGGATGGTGTGCCGCCTCATGTCATCGATCATCACAAATTCATTTATTGAAGTTATTGAATCGCCTAAAAAGGTGACTAATTCAATCATCACTAAAATTGAACCCCTACTTAGAACTTGCCGTTCCAAATGTCCAAGCTACACGGATTCCAATTTTGGTTCTAAAAATGGAAATTGGAGACGAGCTTTACCACAAGAATTGTTTTTAAGAAAAAAATTCAAAACACATTAAAAAAGTCATAATAAAACACCACCGATCGCGGGTGACTACCACCAGAATTCTAGAAAGTTTCACTATGCTTTAAAATCGTTTAAAATTACCGGAATTTGATGTCAAACACGTAGGGAGTGTTTGCAATAGATTAAAAAAACATTTTTCAACTTTTGACTTAAAATGTTGAAATCAGTGTTTTCAAACGATAACTTCTACTTAACAAAAGTACAAAGCCAAAAACTAGAAGTTGGTATCTGGCTGCTTCTAATTGCTTCTAGGTTTATTTGTAAATAAATTAAACATTAAGGATAGTTATAATTCTATTCCGTTTCTCGATCACATTTGTTTCTCTTCGGAGTCTTCGCTCATTTTTCCAATCCCAAAAACCTTCCATATACACGTGTATATATATTGAGTCTATTCTTAAAGGAAAACAGGTGTTGCCGTCTTTTCTTCTTTCTTGCACATCCAATTCGGATGGCTGTAAATAAATTAAAAATGGGAAATAGTCTTATTATTCCTACCTGGGTATGCTGCGTTTTTTCTCCACAAAAGTAAACAAAGGGGACCAATTTTTTGAGCATATATACCTATTGACAGGGACGTAGATGAGGGTGTGCAAGAAGTGCTATCGCACAAGGACTCAAAATTTTAAATATAGTCTACATAATATAATAAATCTTTATTTATTTGATTAGAAATTCCTATCTCGTATTTTTTAAAAAACAAGCATTAAATTGTAATATTTATATGTAATTAAAATACAATTGTTAATTACAATTGTGTAATTTATCTATTTCACAAGACCTAGTTACATTAATTAGCACAAAAGCCCTCGTACAGAATGGAACGAGCTTGTAACTACTTTCTTTTTCATATTTTGTCATTAAATACGTTTCTTAATATATTTTCTTTTCTACATTTTCATTTACCTTACACCTCTATACTACTACTATTTTCTTCATACAACCCACAAAAGACCTAAGGAGACTATTATTTAAAAACGGTGAGAGTGTTTTATACTTTAGGGCCTCATATTCAATTTTGCACAGGACCTTTTGTATGTCTGAGCCGGCCCTGACGTATTCTACCGGGTATAATTTATGTAAGGGCTTTTGTGTATTTTAATCCTACGATAATCACTTTTTTATCAAACACTTCTATTTTAATTCTTTCATCTTAATCACTTCTAAAACACTATCAACTTTTACTACCAAACATTTTCTCTAAAATCACTTTAAAATTCCACTTTTTAAAGTAAAAGCAATCGCAAACACCACTATTAATGAAATTATATTTTCCAACATTATCATACTTTGAGTAATTTTGTCCGGGTTTAATGCACCAAATCCCATCGTGAAATATAAATTCGGTGCATTAGCCCCCTGTGATTTATAAAATGTGTCAAACCCCTCTGTGTTATAATTAATCATGTCCCAAACCCCCTCCAATGACAAATTTAAAAAATTAAAAAAGATTAGTTTTTTTATATATAATTTAGAAATTTTGACTAAGTTATTTGCATATTCAACCATATTATTAAAAAAAGTGATTTTAAAATTGTAAAATTTGTTCTTGAAGGCGGTTTTGCGCATAATTAATTAAAACACATGGGGATTTGACGCATTTTTTAAATCACAGGGAATTAATGTGTCGAATTTATATTTTACGAGAGGGTTTGAGGCATTTCGGGCTAATACGACCAACTTATAAATGCTCTACTTGTAAGATTTTTTTCCAAAAATAAAATATGAATGATTTATTAATTAAACTTTTTTGGGGAATTCTCACTTTTCCTTGTGTGGTTTGTGCATAAATATTAATGATACCATATGGAGTGATATTTATGATATCATAATTTTTTCAAAACCCAATTTTTCCTCTCATAAACCCCCCATCCAACTTTGCTGTACAGTTCTTACATAAAGCTCCTCTTCCCTGAACAGTTTTACCACACATCGCTCTCTCTTTTCCTCTCTGAGCTATTCTTCAAAGGAGAAAGTTTGACACCCCAGGATGAAATTAATTTTTGTTGTAAAAATGGGATTTTGAGATAGAGCACGTTGAAAGAGGCATTTTCTGGGTATTTTTGTAAGTTTAGGGGATTTAATTTAATGGCCGACAAGAACTATGACTGGGTAGGCTCAACCTTACTATGTGAAGAGACAAACAGTCTGTGCTTCATTGATCTTGACTCTCCGGCAACGGATGAGGTAACCCAAGAAACCGATGGTTATAAAGGCTTCATCTTTGACACTGGAAGGTTACAGCCATTGATTGATTTGCCAAGTCTCTGTGAGGAAAGCTTTTGTTTAATGGTGGAAAAGGAGATTCAGTATATGCCTAAACAAGATTATCTTAAAAGATTGAGATGTGGAGACTTGGATTTGACTGTGAGAAGAGATGCGGTTGACTGGATTTGGAAGGTGATTTGAATAGATTCTTCTTTTTGCTCCAGTTATTGTTCATTTATTCCATCAATTTTTATTTTATTCTTATGTTCTTTGGTTTGTCTATCAGCACATATTTTGTGTGTGCGTGTACTTACAGTATTTGAAGATCCTATAAAGTACTTTTATTACTCCTTATGTTAAATGATTTACAGGCTCACAGGCATTATGGATTTGGAGATTTTAGTTTTTGTTTGTCAATCAATTATTTGGATCGTTTTCTTTCCATGTATGAAATGCCAGTAAGTTCCTCCCTGAAGAATCTAGTAGTTTCATCTCTTTAGTTTTTTATCTATAGAAGTTTGTTGGGGGTTTCATATTGAGGACATATGCTGATTGCCTTGACTTGTTTTTGTGGTGAATTTTGTTTTCTTGGAAACCATAGAACAACCAAACATGGGCAGTCCAGCTGTTATCTTTGGCTTGTTTATCAATAGCTGCTAAAGTGGAGGAGATCTATGTGCCTTCGACGGTTGATTTACAGGTGAAACAAAGATTTACATCACTGGCTCACTGCCTAGCAAATGATATGTTTGGATCTGAATCATCTGATTGTGCTGTTAACTAATTTGTGTATAGGTTGGGGAACCCAAAAGTATGTTTGATGGTAAAACCATACAAAGAATGGAACTTCTTTTGTTGAGCACTTTGGAGTGGAGAATGCAATCATACACTCCATTGACTTTCATTGACCATTTCCTGAGAAAGATTAATGGTGATGACAAAATCCCATCATCATCACCCTTGATTTCTAGATCAATGCAGATCATCTCAGGCACAACTAAAGGTGCTTGCTTTTCTGTTGCTCCGAGGACTATATAGTGTTTCGTAGCCAAAAGTGGCTTATTCTACTTATGAGCAAAATATGTAGCTTTTGACTTACCTAATTGACTAAAACAGATTTCACCTCATGCCTTCCAGCAGATTAATCATATAAGTTTAATAAGCCCTTAACAAACGGGCTCTTCGACTGCACTGAATTAATTTATTATTTTGTGGACCAAATGCAGGAATTGAATTCTTGGAATTCAGACCTTCTCAAATTGCTGCAGCTGTGGCTATGTTTGTTTCTGCGGAAACTGTAGTTGTGGCTGGAGAAGACATATTTAGGGATGTCCCTTGTTTGTCACATGTACAAAAGGTACACTCAATGGCAAGTTAAGTACACGAAAAGGAAATATAGGACGAAATGAGTTTGAACTTGATGGGAAAAATAATTATGTTCATACGCGTGTTTGCTAGGGTAAAATTTTTGGTAATATTTATTGATGGAATAAAGCAAAATGGCTCACTAAATTGTCTGCGCTTCTTTGTTATGGAGCAGCAGTCAGTCCATGCAATCTTGGACGCGATTTTCACTATGGGTCATCCGGAAACATTCTCTCTGTGCTTTAGTACAGGGGTAAGACTGCGTACATCCGACCCCCCCTTACCCCACCGTAGGTGGGAGCCTTTGCGGCACTGGGGTAAATGAAAATGATGATGATTTATTCTGTTGTTTATTAAAGTCGGGAATGAGAGAAAAGAAGAGGAAAATGAGGTTCAAGATAACAAATCTCTCGCGGGTAATATTGTCCCATTGTAGCTCAATTGAACCCTATGAGCAGCGACCGGGTGAAGGTCACAGAACCTGAAATAAGGCTGGGCCTCTGGTGCACACGGGTGTATGGGCCTACTGCCATTCTGCCGACCGAGTCACCGTGACTAACCTCCCCACCATTCTGCCGGGTTGGGGTGGGGGCTCCTGGGGTGGGAGATTCCACCTTTTTGGATCAATGAACCCTATTAGCAAACTGTCTCTCCGGTTCTTGGAGGCTTAGAGCCCTCTTGGATAGTGTTTCCTAGTGGGGCCTAATAGTTTTATTTACTCATAAAAATCACTAGAAACATTCTATGTAGGATCATTCTTCTATTATCTATTGATGAGTCTTATACTGATTACATCTTTGAAATGCATTGTTCAAAACCATATTACCCTAATTATATGAAAACTCACAATTTTCCCATTGCAGGAGAAGGTGATGAAGTGTGTTGAGCTGATTCAAGATTTGGATGAAAGAAGTGAGTCATCTGACTCAGCTCCGCAAAGTCCAAATGGTGTGCTGGAGGCTGCATGGTTGAGCTTCAAAGCTGTTGGGTCATGCCCAAGCTCTCCACAAACCAGCCCAGACACGAAAAGGAGGAGATTAGACATTTGTAATGGGGGGAAATGATTTAAAACTAAAACCAAGAAAAAAGAAAACAAAAGTGAGGGGCTTTTTAGAAAGAAAGTCTCTATTTAATTGATGAAAGAAAAGATAAAAAAAGATAAAGAATGAGAGGTAGGAGGTGAAGTAGCTGCTTTTGGCATGAAAAGAATTGGGTACCAGCTGTTAATAATTATTCTTAGTTGTCTACAACCATGGTAAAGAGGTAGGAGGCTGGTATGAATTGGACTGTGGATGGAAGGGACTTATCTTGTGGGAGCAAAACTGCTATTTTTACCTCTCTCTTTTCGTTTTCCCTTTTTCCTTCTTTGGAGTCTTTGAAGCTTCAAGTTTTAAATAAAAAGATGAGGAACACAGAAAATTGCAGTAAATGGCTAATTTTGCATTTCAGTTTCAGTTTAGAATTGTGCCAAAGTTAAGATCGAAAAGAAGATTATCAACCAATTGAGATTTAGGGATATCAATCCTATCAATTGTCAATTTGGGTCCATTATATTTTGCTATCAATCTATGACTTGAAAGGTTACAATTCTGATTTTCACTTATTTTGAAGTTGTTTTAATTTAATAATCCTCACTTATTAAAACTTAAAAGGTCCTTCGTTTACTTCTCTTAAGAATCTAACATTCGAACCTATGATTACAGAAATTACATGAAATCTTACATAAAAGATGAATGTGTTATTAGTCCAAAGAAGTTTATACTTGATACCGTCGAATTTGGCATTTATGATTTAGTTTTGGGTTTACAAAAATTCTTGGTGTACACGTTTTTTTGTCTGTGAGTCTCAGTTCACAGACAAAACTGGCTTGTTTGTTTTGTGGAAAATTCTACAGACAAAACAAGTCAGTTTTTGTCTGTCGATTGGGATTCACAGACAAAAAAAACTTTCATATACACAGAGGTGTACTGATGTGTATAAGAACGTGTACAAAAGGAATTTTTCTTTGGATTAACATTTAAGATCTAGAGTTTCATCGTTTTAGGGTTTGGTGGTGGCTGCTAGGCATTTCAACCATAACAACCGGTGATTGGATGGCGTGTGACCGAAATTGTTGAAGATAATATATAATGTTGTTTAGGGTATTTTGGCCAATGTAAATATGTAATAGAGTATTTAAGCTCTCTATTCTCTCCGTCCCACTAAGAATGAAACAAAAAAATGAGTGACACACAAATTAATGAAAATGGTTTATATGATTGATATTGAACTAATAAACTAATAAAGTACAGAGTAAGAATAAAGTACGGAGTAGAAAGGATTTAGAGACACATATTTTATCAAATTCGGTATGTAACAATTAATGGAACCGATCGAAAAGATAAAATGAAACAAGCTTATTGGACCGGAACTGGACCGGATCTATTTATAAGTCAAAATAGAGATTATAAATCCGAGTCATATGGTCATATCCCAATTAAAGATGTTGACATTATCACTTAATTAATAGATTAAATTAAAAATGTTAAAAAGGAATAAGTTATTGTTATCACAATTTTTTATTAATGAGATTTTTTTAATGATGTATTAGAAATTAACCTTTTAAGTCATGTGCGCAATTATAAGTCGATCCATTTTTAAGCGGAGCGAGAGGTCTCTCTCTAGATCTTCGTTACTCCTAGGGCTCAGCCGCTAGGGTTAGCACTTCCGATCTCGGTGTTCGGCCGGTGATCGGGTTCGCAGTCGAAGAAGGAAAATGCAGGTGACATACAGGGAGGGTCAAGTATAGAACAAGTCGGCTTTGATAGGACCGAGGAGGAAGGTAGGTTGCAGGGGGGTCGTTTTGGTCGAAAGGTCTCAGTGCATGGAGGAAATAATTGATTCGTACAAAAGGATGTCAATGGCACGGCAGGGCAGGTTGATGAACTGAATTTCGATGTAGAACCAGAAGAGGGAGGCGGTCAGGAGGATGAACCGGTGACGTATCCGGTGGTTGCGGTTGTCATCACCGACCGAAAAGTTAAACTTCCTGGGTTTCAAGAATTGATGACTTCCCTTTGGAAGCCGGGCAAAGGTATGTATATCAAAGAAATCGGCGAAAGAAGGTACCTACTACACTTTAATCATGTTGTGGATATGAATCGGGTGTTAGAGGATGGTCCTTGGCTTTTTGAGCGAGATTTAATTTTGCTAAAAGTTGTAGAGTCAGATGATATACCGGAATCTATGAACTTGTTTGAGGCTAGCTTTTGGGTACAAGTCCATAATGCTCCTATTAAGTATAGGAATTTAAGATCTGTCAGGAAAATTGGTAACTTTTTAGGCTCTTTTATTAAATTTGAGATGGGCCACTTTGATGGAAAGCAGAGTTCCTATCTGCGAATACGAGTGTGTTTGGATGTCCGTCAACCTCTGAAAAAAGGTACCAATTTAACACAGGATGAAGTGAAACATTGGGTAGATTTTAAATATGAAAAGCTACCCACTTTTTGCTTTATTTGTGGAATTATTGGGCATTCTGACAAGTTCTGTCCATTAAAATACGAAGAGGACTTTGTAGATGAAAAAATTTATGGAGTGGAACTTAGAGTTGGAGGAAAGATGAAGACTAGTCTGACAGGAATTAATAAATGGTTATTCGATGGAGCCTCTAGCTCAGAGGGATTTGGAGGTCCGAAGAAGTCTGATCTCGGGATAGAGAATACGGCTGAGTCAAAGACTAACAAGTCATCACTGCATGAGAGTGAAGACAGAGAAGTGACTCCTGGAGATACTAAACGTAGAAGGATATGGAATGACCAGGCTGAAGAGGATGCGGATGGCGAAGGAATGACTTTGGATGGGCCAAAAAATGGGGAGGGGGCGGGTCAGGTCTCCTAGACCCGCCTTATCTCTGGTGGGTGGTGGTGGGAAGGAAAAATTACAATGGTGATTTTATTATTATTGTCTACTTTGATTACCTTAACTTAGGTTGCTCTTTTACGTTTTGCTTTTGTTATTTCATTTCTTGTAAGACTTTTGCATTAAGATTGGGGGAGGGAAAGTCTGCGGTAACCGTCATTGGCTTTAAGATGCCCAATTTTGATCTAGCGAGTTATACTGCTTTTTTACACTTGGTCAGATCTCAGTCTCGATCACGGGCAGATGGTTATTTGTGGTTCTTTTCTAGTTTTGTACCTTTGCTGAATGATATTATTATGAATTAAGTCTTCTTGGAGCAAAAAAAATCACATGCGCAATTAAACTATAAACAATTTCACTTTTTAGAATACAAGGATAATAATTGGAACACCATTACACCGCACCTTCTAGGCGCCCAGCAATGATGAGCGTGGCACCAATTGAATTCCAAATTGGCGTAAAAGGGCGGGTAATGCGGTGCGGTGTCAAATGATCAAGTACGACGTCGTGCTGGTATTATATTCAAACATTTATTTAACTGTGCAGTTATTTTCAAACAATTACTTGACTGTCTTCCCGATTGAATTTTTAGATGAAATTTGGTATGGGTAAACTATACTTAATGAAAAATATGCTCAAAAATTTTATCAAAATATTCCACCGGGAACCACATCAAATGGCTACGGCCGGACAGAAAATCCTATAAAAAGGGTGATTTGAACTTTTTCGATTAGTTCGAAGACTTATTTGCTCCTTTTCCGTATTCAATATTGTAACGATTGCCATAATAGGAGCCATGTTTGTGGGCCATTGGCTAAATTTCTTCTTTGACGGACCGAGTATTTGCCCTTGATTAGGAATAGAGGTTTGACCAGCGTTTGTCAAACGTAGAACCTTTAATGATGTTTGCCGACTGGTTTTTATGAGCTATCCCCTTTTTGAAAAAGGAGTATTCCAAGTGCTGTGAAACAAATTTCAAGTATTTACTTAAAATTGATCGCAAATAATAATATGTGAGAATATTGGGTACAATCTCTAAATATGAATCATCTGATTCTTTCCTTGCAATTTGAAATAAATATAACTAAAGAAATTAATTCAAAATTAAATCTTTAATCCTTCAAACGTTCGAACGTTTTTCAGATCTTCAATTCTTCATTCTTGAGATCTTCGAATCTTCGAATCTTCGTTTGTCAGATCTTCAAATCTTCTTGAATTAAGATTTCAACTTGAAGGGTCTCCGGTTTTCAAGTGACTTGATCTTCAACAAAAGGACCGTTTTATGGCTTGATCTTTTGTTTAAGGGCTTCCCGGGATATATGTCTTGATCTTCAATTGAATTTCAATTCAATCTTCATATGAGTATCTTCAAATCTTCAAAGATTCGTTCTTCATATCTTCGAATCTTCAAAGTCTTGTTCTTCAGATCTTCGAATCTTCAAGCTTCGTTCTTCAGATCTTCGAACGTTCTTCAACTTTTGGATTTTTTTTTAAGAATCGACGAAATCACGAATGATTATTCGTATATTCTTAATAAAATTCGTGGCTTAATCTATTCCTCTTCTCGGAATCATTCAGAGCCTTTCGGGAGTTCTTGAGAGCTTTTCTGCAACGTTTCTTCGTCTGAAAATTCTCTCCTCATTCCTGTCAACTGAGACCCCTATTTATAAGCGTGGAGGGGTGAAAATATGCTTTAGGGTTTTGGAAATTCGTCCATGCCTCTTGGGCCTCAATGAAAATGGGCTTTGGGCTCTATTTCTTGCATTTTAATAGCTAAAAAAATCAGCACTTATCCGATGTATCTGGACAGCCTTTTTAACAAGGTTCGTAGCCATTGTCCATGCTCTGGGTTTATTTCTTAACTAGATTTGTCCTTCTCTTCATATATTGGATCATGTCTCTTATTTATCGGTTCATTCTTTAATATTGGGGTTAAAATAAATAAATTAATAGGACCAATCCACTCTTTTAAAGACTTACTTTATAATTAAATTAATTGGATATTTAAATGACCCAAATAAATTTAATCATTGTATTTTATCTGAACGAGTCCATATTAATATTTTCCTTTTGATAAGGCAAATAGCATTCATGAGCAGCCCAGTAGAATTCAACGTTGATCCAATAAATTCGAAATAGGCCCAATCAAGTCGAAATGGCCCGGTAACATTGTAAGAGACCCAATGACCATCACGATTGACCCAATAATTTTTAAATGTCTACAAATGCTCCATCGAGACTTGCTTGAATATTTGGAAAGGTAAAAGCAAGTCTCGAAATAAGTAGACCCAAACCGCTCACTGTCTTAAAATACACTTTCTTCTTCAAAAGGCCATTTAAACCTTGATTATCGTGATTTTACGAAGAGCCCCGTTTGCTGAATTGTTAAAAATACACTAATCCCTGAAACAAATTAAAAATCCGGTAGATAGCTGTGAAACTTGAGTTCTTGAGCTAAATATGTTGTAGCTGGACTTGATCAAAATGCCATTCTTATCACAATTAGAATCATAATTCTTTAGAAATTTTCCAATTCCATTAGGACTCTTATTCCGATTGAGCCGCAATCTTTATTCTCCTCAAACTTTTCTATTCTCTATTATAAAAGATCCTGCTGTCTTTCTTTTTCTGTGCAAACAAAATA